AACTTTCATCAAAGTTCCGATTTAATAAGGCAGACATGTTGCAACGGACTGTGGAATCCCAAATCTAAACGTCCTGGGATTCCAACCCAGTTGAAAGTTCATGATCTTATCCCCACACCCATAAATCCATCACATGGTCCAATCTTCTTCGGCCACGCTGGCATCTCCACCCAGCTGGTTCCAGTCAGGTGCAGAGACAAAAGATGACCTTGGCTTCTAGAAAGGAATGACAACACACATTCCACAATTCTACTCCTTTCTATTCCCCCCTCCCAATTACTACATTAATGAAACAGCATAGTGAAATAATAGAAAGTGTGACAGGCCAAAGATCCTAAAAGGAACATAAATACAGGCCTGACACTAGGGGTGACATGAGAGCAGTCTTCCAATACTTGAGGGGTTATTACAGAGACAAGGGGATCAATGTATTCTCTAAAGCACCTGAAGAGGAGAAGCAATGGGTGGAAGATTATCAAATCACGGAAGATTTTACAGTAATAACCGTAAGGCAACACAGAAGCTGGCCAGACTGTAAACTGTAGGCTCGGAAAATAACACAGAAATCTGTAAACTTAGTTTTGTCTGACTGAGGAAATAATGGCAGGCTTCATTTAGCCATTATTTGCATTCACTTGAATAACAAATAGGAGTGTGAATAAAATAAGCAAAAGGTTATTGTTTTAAAATTACAGAGCGTAGAATGTGATCATTAAAATAAGTCAGGTAGTCGAGAAATAAACATTAGATTAAAGTGCATGTTAGATAAAAAGCTTTTTAGGAGACTCATTATGAGGATTGTAACATCAGCTTTCATTTGTTACATGTAATAAAGTGGCTAAATATATGTAAAACAAGTAATAACAAAGATGATTCTTTCTCGTATTTCAGATACGAGCATATCTGAAATGGGAGATCAACCCTTTGGGGGCACCTGTCGTGGCCTGAACGCTCTTCCAGCGAAAATGGGCTCCTGAGCTCCATTTTGGCTGTGACAGCTTCCTGCAACTCTCTCCCAATACAAACAGAGCTTGGGAGGGCTGCCCATAGCCCTCACAAGCTGTTTTTGGCTGCGATGGCCTCCTGCAATCCTCTGTCAGTGAAAACAGAGTTGGAAGTACCGTTTGCGGCCCTTGCCAGCTCCATTTTCAGCTTCAATGGCCTCGTGCAACCCTCTGCCAGTAAAATGGAGCTTGGGGGGGTTTGCCTGTGGCCCTTGCGAGCTCCATTTTCGGCTGCAATGGCCTTCTGCAATCCTCTGCCAGCAAAAATCCATTTTCACTGCTAGAGGCACTACGGGGTGGTCCTTTGCTGTTTCCAGGGAGGCCCTGCAGGCCATCTCTAAGCACCCTACAGGCCGGATCCGCCCTCTGGGCCTTGAGTTTAACACCCCTACTTTAAAATGTTCAGAATGCTTGGAATTTTCTCTTTGTGGCATTTCAGGCTGGTTTTTCTCTTTGGGTCCTTCTTTGTTTCTGTCTCAGAGCTTTGTTGCCTCCCATAATTGGCAGGCATCCAGTGCAGTTGAACTTCAGGCTCTAAAATACTGGCTAATAATACCACTTACGCTTATATACCACTTCACAGTGATTTAACAGCCCTCTCTAAGCCATTCACAGAGTTAGCCTATTGCCTTGGCTCCTAACTAGCTAGCCTTAATTCTAAAGCAAAAATTACTAAAAGCTAATTCAGGACTGAGGTTATTAGCGGTTTTTCAGCACAATTCTTAAATGAACTCTTTTAGCTTTAAATTAAAAAAAAGCTCAAATAAAAGTTAAGAGCTCCCTGAGATGCTGTCACTCAATTGTCATATTGCTCTGCCCTCCCCGCCATATTTCTCCCAGCCAGGGGCTTCCCTTCATTCCAGCCTTGTTGTAACTTTCTGGCCGGCTGCAGAGAAAACGTTTCTCCATGGAGCATATGGTACTACTGGCTCCTTTTCCATTTAGATATGCACAGAAGCCTTCTCCTCGCACTGGGAACCTGAAAAAGAACAAGGAATTACAATCTGCACGGGCAGAAATTAGCACTGCAAAAATGATGCTTCCGGGCAGATTGCCAGTTTTAGGACACAGGGAACATCAGCCAACAGATGTTTTATATACTATTCCCTGAGCAATTTTCTTCTCTTTTCCTCCCCTTTCAATGCCTTATATTTGCAGAGAGTGCCTTAGGTAAAAATTACCTTGATTTTTATTATTGTTTCTGTCATTCAAGCTGAAGTCTGATGTATAGGAATAGCAATAGCACTTAGACTTCTATACCATTTTACAGCCCTCTCTAAGCGGTTTTACAGAGTCAAAATATTGCCCCCAACAATTTTGGGTCCTCGTTTTACCCACCTGGGAAGGATGGAAGGCTGAGTCAACCTTGAGCCTGGTGACAACTGCCAAATTGCAGGCAGTAGAAGTAGCCTGCAGTACTGCACTCTAACCACTGTGCCACCGAGGCTCATAAAGACTTTAAATAGTTAAATAGCTCTATAAATCTTAAAAACAAAGAAATAAAACCTTACTTACTGATTTTTAAACTCTGTGCCATTGGACCATTTCCACATCCTGTTAACTTTCCTTGAGAGACCAAACCAGTAATGATAGGAACGGAAAATATTCAGCCAAAAATCCTAGGAGAAGGGAGATAATGTGTAGTAAAATCCTCATTTAAAGGGCTAATTGGAGGAAGAAAGTGTAAGAAATTAATCATGTCGTCTCCTTATTCCTTACCAATTCCTTCTGAGTATCAATCACAGCCAAGGATGCATCAAATGAGGAACAGGTGCTTAAACTGAGAGACCAATTCTTTTCGTCTTTTGATATGTAGAGGCATTTCCCATTGAATCTAATCCAGGAATCCGGGCAGGCAGCACTTACAAGGGGATGACAAGGCGAACATGTTTCTGTCTCTTTAACTAGAAATAAAGCGAAACGGACAAATTATAGAACTCACAATCTACTTCAGTTCTGACAACAAGGTTGAGTAGTTGATATTAAGGTACCACACTTAAATTCAGTGGTGGGATTCAATTTTTTTTACTACAGGTTCTGTAAGAATTGGCTCGGTGGGCATGGCAGAAGGACACTGTAAAATCTCCATTCCCTCCCCACTCCAGGGGAAGGTTACTGCAAAATCCCCATTCCCTCCCGATCAGCTGGAACTCTGGAGACAGAGAATAGATGGGGATGGGGACAGCCAGAGATGGTATTTACTGGTTTTCTGAACTACTCAAAAACTCCGCTACTGGTTCTCCAGAACTGGTCAGAACCTGCTGAATACCACCTCTGCTTAAATTGCAATGTGTTCTAGTGCTAGGTTGGACACAAAACCCAGTTGCGTTACCTTAGGCCAGTGACTCTCTCTCAGACCTAAGAAGGAAAAGGAGGCAGGGGCAAACCACTTCCAAAGGCTTGTCAAAAAACCATTAGGGACTAGTCTAGGCAATTGTTAGGAGTCAAGATTGATACAAAAGCCACCCACCTACCTATAGCAGAAACCTACTATAGGAAATTTGTAACTTACAACAGTTCATTTACTGACTCTTCAAAGTTACAACAGCACTGGAAAAAGTGGCTTATGACCGTTTTTATGAGGGTTGCAGCATCCCCTCAGTCACATGATCAAAATTCGGATGCTTGGCAACTGATTCATATTCAAGATGGTTGCAGCATCCCGGGGTCATATGATCCGCTTTCCCCATCCTTCTGACAAGCAAAGGAAATGAGGAAGCCAGATTCACTTAACAACCATGTTACTAACTTAACAACTGCAATGATTTCCTTAACAACGGTGACAAGAAAGATAGTAAAATGGGGCAAAAATTCACTTAACAAATGCCTCACTTAAGAACATAAATTTGGGACTCAATCGTGGTCATAGGTTCAGAACGACTGTATTTGGGTTTGTGCGATAAAGCAAGAGATATGGTCAAGAATGAAAAAGCATTAAAGTCAAATGCAAGTTTGTTCATGTTGGATCATGTTATCTTCTTCCTGACCCCAGAGCTATGGTGGCGCAGTGGTTAGAATGCAGTATTGCAGGCTGATTCTGGCCACTGCTAGGAGTTCGATTGTGAACCTCCCAAGGTTGACTCAGCCTTCCATCCTTCCCAGGTCAGTAAAATGAGGACCCAGATTGTTGGGGGCATTATGATGACCCTGTAAACCGCTTAGAGAGGGCTGTAAACCACTATGAAGCAGTATATTGTGAGTGTCAAAATGTCCAGAGGCAATCACAGCAGTGCAATAACATTCTTGCCCTTTTGGGAAATGCAGGCAATATTTTGACATACCTATAAGAATACTCTAACACTCTTCCAGAGGGCACTATAGACCTGGCTATCCCAGCGGACCTGGGGAACCCAGAACAGGTTGAAGCCCATTACCTGGCTTGTGTGATGTATCGTTGTCGGGATGGGGGGCTTTTATATTCTTTTATTAATTTATTTATTTTTGATTATTTTATTTTTATATATGTGATGTTTTTATATTCCTGTAAGCTGCCTTGAGTCGCCAAGTGCGAATAAGCAGCAATATAAATTTTCTAACTGCATAAAAATAAATAAATAATAAAAAGCCTGGGCTCCAACTGGGATTCAATTGCACTGGCACAAACATCATGTTGACTTATTTGACACTCCCTACTCCTAGTTGCTGCTACTTCCTTCTGTAGCATTCTGTGGCTTAAATGTAATCATTCATGGATGGGATGATCTTGAGTTAAACAATAACAAAACAATGAAGATCTCCTTACTTACCAGCCAATGAAATGATAGTAATGATCAAAGCTGTGATTACAATAACAGCTCCTACTGTGAATAGTTTGTCTGAAATGCATTTAGGTATGAGAGCTGA